GAGCACAGCAATCACCAAACCAGACACTTATCTCACTGAGAGTGGCGTCTGCTCATATCCCAGATAGATGACTCTTGCCTGGAATCAACAATGCTCGCGGTCTCGTCGCTCTGGCTCGCTTTCCATCGCATGAGGGCTTGAGACTCTGACGCGTGACTTCTGTTCCCTCGGTCCTAAACCCAGCACAAGGGGAAAAAACAAATCCGTTACCATCTCAGTCGGCAATGTCTCATAGGCTTTTCCTTTTGCCTCTCCCGCACAGCGGGGCTCCTCCCTCAAACATCTTCCCATTACACCTTTATCATTACAACCAAAAAGCACCCCTTGCAACGGCACCCAATATAGTCACTCTGCACAGCAGACTCTGGCCCCTCCCCAGCCGTAATCTCACAGAGACCCATATCGAATGAGAAAGCACACGGCCGGTTTAGAATACTACAGCGAGCACAGATGAACAATTCAAAGCACTGACCGCTTACTCACAGCCAATTATGTGGGAGTCAGAAAGCGGAGGACTGTTCATGTCTGCTTACAAGGATGTCCCATCTGCTCATGTCCACTAGTGCCACTTTCTCCTCGGGATAGGGCTCCTGGAAAATTCCTCTGGAAGCGAAGCTGCAAAAGCCAACCATGAGCCATCATTACTTAAAGCTCTATTTGTTGCTTCAAATCTTGCCCTCATCCTGGCCTCCCTCTCCAATCCCATCTACATCAGCCCCACTCGATGAACAGAGACCGAGTTAACACCGACAGACACAGCCCTGCATGGTTTTCATCCCCTCCTACTTCTCCATGGCTCCCAAAACCTGGCCTGTGGGGATGCACAGCTAGCACACATGCCCGTGTCCTACGAAGGGAGACGGCACGAGGACAGGAGAGGAAAGAGAGTGAGAAAGTTGGCCAACACACAAGAGGAGAGAGAGAGAGAGAGAGAGAGAGAAAGAAAAAAAATGGGAGGAAGGTAAGCAACTGAGCACCTGGAGTCATCCTCCTGAATCCAACCTTCCGTTGCGGAGGAGACTCCGCTCCTGACCAGAGAAATGAGCAACCTCTGAAAATAGGGACCTTTTCCCCCTCGTAACCACAGTTAGTCAGCAACCTTTTCATACAAACCCAGCCCTAACTTAGTGGGCTTCCCTATCTGGACTCAGGTTGGGCGTGAGCAGAGCCCTCATGAAACCAGACACTTATCTCACTGACAGCAGCGTCTCCTCGGCTCCTAGAGGGACGGCTTTTGCGTGGCATCAACAATGCTCAGAGTCTCAACGCTCTCGCTCGCTTTCCATCGCATGGGGGCAGTAGACTCTGACGCGTGACTTCGTTTCCCTCGGTACTAAACCCAGCGGGAGGGGGGAACCAAAAAAATTAGCATCTTCATCTGCAATGTCGCGTAGTCTCCTTCATTTCACATCTCCCATATCCCACGGCTCCACCCTCAACCCATCTTCCATTACTACGTTACACCTGCAACTAGAAGGCACCCATTGTAACAGCACCCAAAATACTCACTTTTCTCAGGAGACTTGTCCCTTCCCCAGCCTTAATCCCAGAGCCACGTAACTAACGAGGAAGCACACGGCCTGTGAAGAAAATTACAGCGAGTACAGATGAGGAATTCAAAGCACTGACCTCTTACTCACAGCCAGCGATGCAGAAGGCAGAAACATGAGGACTATTCATGTCTCCTTAGAAGGATGTCCAGGATGCTCAGGTCCACTTCTGCCATATTCTTGTGTGGCTGGGGCTCCTGGACAATTCCTTGGCAAACTTATAAAGCCAAGAAAGAACCATCACTACACAGAGCTCTATTGGTGCTGGAAATCTTGCCCTCAGCCCTGCCTCCCTCTCCAATCCCATCTACATCGGCCCCACTCAATGAACAGAGACCGAGTTAACACCGACAGTCACCGCTCCACTCTCACACCCACTGCCCCGCATGATTTTCGTCCGCGACTCCCGAGATCTGGCCTGTGGGGATGCACACCTAGCACGCCTGCCCGTGTCCTACGAAGGGAGACAGCACAAGGAGAGGAGAGCAGAGTCAGTGAGAAAGTTGGCCAACACACTGGAGAAGAGAGAGAGACAGACATGGGAGGGAGGCAAGCAACTCACCACCTAGAGTCATCCTCCTAGATGCAACCTACCGCTGCGCAGGAGACATCGCTCCTGGCCAGAGAAATGAGCAGGCCCTGAAAATGGGGACCTTGTCTCTCTCGTAAGCACAGCTGGTCAGGAACCATTTCTTACAAACCCAGCCCCAGCTAATGTGGCGTCCCTAGCAGGAGCAAGGTGGGCCGTGAGCACAGCAATCACCAAACCAGACACTTATCTCACTGAGAGTGGCG